GCATAATTTTATGGGGTAGCTTATTAAGCTATTATAGAACAACACAGACAATAGGGTGCAATTGACTTTGTAACAGGCCTGACCAACCTATACAAGGGTAACATCCAGATTTTGAAAATATTCCAGCAACAGGTTTTATAACTTTTCCAGCATAAATATTTATGTTTAAGAAACACAACTAAACAGAACAGCATAGTAGATTATGGCTATTTTTATTAAAATCTCATAGGTTGTACTGTTTAATACATTGTTGTATTACTTAGTTTTTGCTATTCATGAAAAAACAAAAAGCTTAATTTTTGAAAATAGAGAGAAATTTTTAAAAAAAATTGTAAATGTCAATGAATAGTCTCTTTGGAAAGAGAACATTCTATTTGCATTTTTCACCAGATGCACGCCCTCTGGTATTTAAAAACAAAACTATTCTATCTGGTTCATTTGATTCAATCTTGTGTATTATCAGCAGTAAAGTTGAAAAGCGATAGAAAAAGCAATGCTTACTGTTGGTTCCAAATTGCAATTTCAAAGCCTTACGAGAGCCTGATATAAGTTTTCATCTATTCCCACACAAAAAAACGGGAAAAACAGATGATTATTTGGAAATTGATCGGTTATATTTATGAGCTCTGAATTCTGAAAGAGTAGATTAGACTGTTAAGAATTGGCAGTTTTACATGAACAAGTTATGCTGTCAATTTTAAAACATTTTGTTAAAAGTTTAAAATGCCAGTAATTTTGTGTAGGACACAGGGCCGAATTTAAGCATTTCGAAGCCCTAAGCTGAACTCTGTAAGGGCCCCTTACCAACCCTTTGCAATTTTAGAAGTCAATCAATAAAAGAAAAGAATTAAATCACATTATGACTCTGATTTAATACAGATATTGGAAGAAAAAAGACGTGAGGTTTCATTAGTCTTCTGTTTTATAACTAAGTTTAATTAAAAAAATTGATAAAACCAATTTAAAAAAAGATTTTTAATGGAATGGGTATAAAAATTTAAAGATCTTATGTTAATTCTTAGAAAAAAAATTAATGAAATACTACACAAAATAAACAGTGAAGTATATTTTGTTGGTTTGTAAAAAAGTGCTTATTACAAAATCTGACTTCAATTTTTTTTAAAAATGTTTGAGGTCCTTTGAAAGTCAAGGCTTTTTACTTGTAAATCTGGCCCTGATGGAACAATGTCAAAGCTGATGTTTTTTAACACAAAGGGCACAAATATGTATAGAACAATCTCACTCGTTTCGATACCACGTAATGACGTGTCCCACTAACAATAATTGTTCTCCTTCTATAAAATTTCTCAATAAACAGCTACAGGCAGCATATATTATTATATCAGACAGTAATATATGATTAATTTTACATTACTAGTTAGAAGCGACCCAGATAAAGTAGCCATTTTGTAAAAATGCAGCGTCCTCTATAGTTCATGAAAAATGCAAATACTTACTTATCAGTCATTTTGCTTTGTGATTTAACAAATTATTAAATGACAAGTGTTGCTATGATTTATATGAAATTGGTTATGTACAATGGGTGATCGGTTAATGAACATAATCCGTTCCATGACTTTTGTTTGTTAACCAATTATTGAATTACCATAGGTTTTTTATGGGAATTTGATGAATTCGTTCTGGAGACTCCAAAAAATAAAAAATATAAATAAATGTAGNATGTTAACTTTTCTTCACTTCTCAAATATATTTTACTCTAATGGGTAGAAAAGTTTTAACTAAAGTTTTTTTTTTTTAACTCAAACTTCATCAAAAGTGTTTTTGTTATCACTGTCATTTTATTTCAATAAAGTTGATTATTTAAAAAAATTTCAACTGCATTAAAGTGAATTTATGTAAATGGAGGGATTATTATTATTGTTGTTGTTATGTTTATTATTCATATATTGGTCTTGATATTAATTCTGTAATATATAGGTTAAAACATTCACATGCTTGCATGGGTGAGATCTGTAAGACTCCAGATATTCATCACTCAGGAACTATTTTAGAAACTTGATCATAATAATGTAGAACTTAATAAATGAGTAGGGTCAATGTGGGTAATTATGAGGCACTTTTTAAGACTTTTGTAACAGCATTTGTTAGGATCAGTATTTTACAAAGGGAAATGCATGACAAGGTCTACAGGTATTAAAATCTAATGGAGTATTCATTTTTTCTGTATGTATGAGAAATGTTGAGCAAAAAATTTTTTTTCTACCTATAAATTACCTATAAATTTAATTTTTACATTTAATGGTGCAAAATATGATGTAGATAAGTTGTATAAATGAAAAGTTATATAATTATGTATTGTTAAGACTATTTCAAAACCTATTTAAAATATTATCAGACAAATGAATAATAGATAAACTGCAATATTTATGAAATTATGAAGTGACTTTGCTTTTTTTTGAGTACTTTCTGAACTTGATGGATGATATTTAAAAAAGTGTGTTTAATTAGCAAAATTGTTGTGAGTTATTTAAAAATTATCTCTTACAAATGAATGACAAAGTTTTAACTCTGTGCCTTACTAAATCAATAAAAAAAAACTTTTGTTAGAAAAAATATTTATTTAAATATTAATGTATTTGAATGAATAATATAATTTTATTTAAAATTATTTTTGCTTGTTGCATTCTATTTATTTAAATTTTAAAACTTAATTTATTGATATGTATATATATTTTTTATTTTTAAAGAACTTTTATTAATTTAATTTCCCTTTTAGAATGGAAAAAATATAAGCCATTTTATTAAAAATTTAATCTAGAATTTTTAATTGCTATGCTCAATCTTTTTGTTTTCTCATTTATCTTTCTTTTCAGTTTAGGTATACAAATTTCTTTGAAGCTTCCTGTATTTGCCTTTCAACATTAAAATATACAACCTGGCTTGTCATTTTCTCTTTTTTGCACAGTATTTAATATAGCCAGGTAAAAGTAATTAAATTCTCTTAAATGTAATTAATAATAAATTCTTTCTTTTAACTTTCCAAAAGTTTTTATATTAACTTTTGAAAAGTTAACTTCTTGATTAGTCTACATTATCTCTTAATTTTATATTTAATGAAAATTCTGATATTATATCTAAAATCTGTTTCTTAACCTTTTTATATCTTTTCTGTCCTTGCAGCTGCAGATAATGTAATTGACAATTATTTATATTTTGTAAATACAGTATTGAAAATACTGTATAACATTTTCTAAAACATACTTTTATTCACAGTCCCATCCAAAATAGATGTCATTTGAAAATATGGTTTAATTGTACCTTTATATATTTATTACAAAAAGTTATGAAAAAATCATGTCATTTTCATGACTACAAAACTGCTATTTGTAAACAGGATCAGTGATAAGAGTTTTATATGATAATGTTTTCCCATTGTGTTTGTTTAGAAATTATTTGTTTTCTAAATTATTAATTATTATCAAAAGAATTTTTTTAAAATGAAATTATGTTAATCTTAGTTTGCTTGTAAATTCGTTTTTAAATGGAAATTGGTCTTAAAATTTAATTATATCAAAATCTGAAAGAAACTGAAGAAGAAAAAGTAAAAGTTGAGATTTGTAGCATTCTCCAATTGTATAAACCAGGGCTATGGAGTCAGAAAAAGTGTCGACTCCGACATTTTAAATTTTTTTTTTATTTAAATGAAAGAAAATTTATTATATATTTATTAATATTTTAAAATCTTTTTGTACTTTGTTATAATTCATTTACTTTAAATACAAAAAGCAGCAATTTAATTTATTAAATATGTAGTGTTCTTTGTGGTATTTGTGTTTAGTAGTAAAATTATTTTGACCCAATTGAATTTCAATAATTTTGAATCATTCCTTTATTATCCCTGCTTTAAATAAGTACTCTATTTTCTGAATTAGCCAGACTAATTGATCAAAGTATATATTTTATATATTTTTCTTTTCTGAACAAAAGACTGAAGTAGCTACTGTAGATCACACACTTTTTAGTTGGACTAACTTTTCTGGAAGAGTGAAATTGAAGTGCAAATGCTGTTGAATATATGTATATGTAGATGTAGAATTTTATCACCTCCCTTCTCCTCTTATTAAATATTTGTAAAAAATTATTCTTTTTTATACAAATAAATATTAATGTAAGTTAAATATTAAAATACTAACTATAAAAGTATTTGGGTAAATGCCCCGGGCTCCTTTCAGAGTTCAGAGTAGGGTACTGTCCTATGAGTGCCTCTGCCCTCCGTAAAATGACTTGGTATTTAATTTTGCCAGACCAACAGTGAAACAACCCTGGTACCAATAATGAAAAAAATGCAGGTTGCAAGCAGCATGCTCCTTTCAAACATTAGCGGTGTGATTCATGCAACATATGGAACCATTCAGAAATTCTAGTGAAGAGTTGAAATGATATTACAATATCTTTATAAAAGTGATAAAATTATTACATTATATAAATAACATCATTTCAGTAATTAAATGTCCATGAAGTAAACTTGATCTCGCACTTTTTATCTTGCGTTACCACATCATTGGTTTTTATAGTGTTGACTCCTTAAGTAAATCTTTCAAAATATTTTTAGTTGATGATACCCATGGGATACTGTTAAACAAGTATAAATTTCAATAATTAAATATTTGTCACACTTGATAATATATTGGGTTCAACTGAACATCTCTTATTTTTTGTTTTTATAATTTTTATACTTTGTAAGACAACTGTATCTTGGTAAAATCAAATAAATTACATTTAATCTATAATCACCAGTTTGTGTAGAATAAAATTTATAAACAAAATTCTAACTATAAAATTGTTATAGAAGAAATTCAGTTTTGTAATTTTACTGACAACATCCATCTCACTAATTTAAAAGTTCAAGTAATAAGTTTTAAAGTTATATTATTTATTTATAGATGAAATAAGGACGTAATAATTTTATACAAATTCTGTTCTATTTTCATAAATAGCAAACTATATTATTATACAGGGTGATATAGCCATGCAGTGATATGAATGGTGCAACATATAATGTTAAATCTACAGTATGACAAACCAGAACTCCTTCAACACATTTTACGGACTGATGATGCACTTTTCCTATCACAGTAAGAACACCGAGCATAGTGTGCTCCACAATGCAGACAACATATATGACACCAAGTACATTTTATCTTAAATGCCTGATGTGGAATTTGGGATGACTAGCTTCTTGGGCCTGTATTTATTGATGACACACTAAATATTGACCATTTTATACCTGTTTGGATTTGATCCTGGGTCACCCAGAGTGGTAGGCTGTCATCCGGCCATCATAGGATAATTAATGGCTTGATGACTTGCCATTGGCAAAAGTACAGTAGGTTTAGTACTAGTAACGTTTAACACTGTTCCATGGCCACCACATTCTCCAGATAAGGCTGCTCTGGATTTTTTCCTGTGGAGTCACATAAAAGCATCAGTGTATGATGTGTTGACACCAGGAATGCTTTGCTCAACGTCTGCATCCTTGTATTGTAACAGAGGCCAGTTGTTTTGAACATCTCTGAAATAAAGCTTGCCTTTTTAATTTCTGCACTGTTATTTTTGCCGTTTACGGTCAGATTATTTGTATATTATACTAAGTCATCAGAAATTGGTTATTTCAAGATTTGCATATTTTCTTATAAAACAAGCCAGTGATTCTATATGATATTTCCTTCCCTTTTTTTGTATATAATGTATGTATATATTTATTAAATAGTTTGAAGATATTTTTTATAAGATTTTGCTTTTCTAATTTTTAAATACAATTATGTAAAGCTATGATTTATATTTATATTTTAAAATTTAAAAGAATTTTCTAATTTCTATTTTTAGATTCGTGTGGTAGATAAAGTTCCTCCACAGACTGCTTGGTTGAATAAATATCATCAAGTTAGTTTTTTAAACTGAATATTTGTTCTTATGTATATATTGTAACATATTTTTAAAAATTAATAAACCAAATATGATCTTTCAGGAGATATTTGCTAATCCACTTGTTGAATTTAAGAGTGCTAATCTAATTAATTCTGGTAAGTATGATCCATATGAATATTTTCAGTTTTAAAGGACAAAATATAATTAATTTAATGTAATTCTTGCAATAAATATTTTTTATTTTCCAAATATATATTATATATGTATAGGGCTTTATGAATGCATTTCACAAATTTTGCATTATCTTTGTATAACTGCTGAAAGATACCAAGATAAATTTAGGTTATAGCTTGTCATAAAAGTAATTTGAACTGTATAACAAAACTCCAGTGAAAATTTTTATTCCATAGAGTGGAAGTTATACCCCAAAACTGTCAAGTTTAACGTTTTTCTATTAATTATTGTAATTCTCAAAACTAGTTCCTGATCATTATATCAAATGTTATGTTATACTAAACTAGTAGCCCGGGACGCCCCCTAGTGGGCATTGTTTACAAATTTCCATGAAGCACGGTTCCTTTGACTTTTTTGTTCCTATCAATATGCTCTACAGCTCTGTTGTAGTCCCAATGGTAAGATTAGGTGAAGAGGTGGTGACCCCCCCAAACTGTAGGCCCCTGTGCGAACAATAAAGGAAAAGGACTATACCCCTACTCAAACCCTTCGCGAGATATAAGCCCATGAAATAATAAATTCCTATTACAAATATACTGAATTATTTATATTGTTATATTGACCAAAAAATAATTTATTGGCCAAATGAATAATAATAATTCATATTGTTAAATAAGAATTAAAATTGTTAATTTGAATGTTTGAAATATGACACGATAGGGGCACCTCTAGTGTCCGTTATCAAACAGTTATGGGACAAACAGACAGATACCTGTTGAATGGGTTATATATATATATATGGCTCTATAATTGAAAAATCCAAAAATAGGGAAGTGCCTGTGTAGAAGGTTGTTTCTAGGTTATGTTATTTTAGTAATTATTTTGTTTCAGTTTCATTTAAGGGCAAAATGAGTGAACCAAAGAGAAGCAAAATTTGATTTGGGTGAAAAAAAATTAAAAATTAATTAATCATAAATAATGCAATCATGTTGTGTATTTACAACTAGGAGATAATATGGAATGCTAATTACAATGCAATAAATGAATATTTTGCAGCATAATTTTATGGGGTAGCTTATTAAGCTATTATAGAACAACACAGACAATAGGGTGCAATTGACTTTGTAACAGGCCTGACCAACCTATACAAGGGTAACATCCAGATTTTGAAAATATTCCAGCAACAGGTTTTATAACTTTTCCAGCATAAATATTTATGTTTAAGAAACACAACTAAACAGAACAGCATAGTAGATTATGGCTATTTTTATTAAAATCTCATAGGTTGTACTGTTTAATACATTGTTGTATTACTTAGTTTTTGCTATTCATGAAAAAACAAAAAGCTTAATTTTTGAAAATAGAGAGAAATTTTTAAAAAAAATTGTAAATGTCAATGAATAGTCTCTTTGGAAAGAGAACATTCTATTTGCATTTTTCACCAGATGCACGCCCTCTGGTATTTAAAAACAAAACTATTCTATCTGGTTCATTTGATTCAATCTTGTGTATTATCAGCAGTAAAGTTGAAAAGCGATAGAAAAAGCAATGCTTACTGTTGGTTCCAAATTGCAATTTCAAAGCCTTACGAGAGCCTGATATAAGTTTTCATCTATTCCCACACAAAAAAACGGGAAAAACAGATGATTATTTGGAAATTGATCGGTTATATTTATGAGCTCTGAATTCTGAAAGAGTAGATTAGACTGTTAAGAATTGGCAGTTTTACATGAACAAGTTATGCTGTCAATTTTAAAACATTTTGTTAAAAGTTTAAAATGCCAGTAATTTTGTGTAGGACACAGGGCCGAATTTAAGCATTTCGAAGCCCTAAGCTGAACTCTGTAAGGGCCCCTTACCAACCCTTTGCAATTTTAGAAGTCAATCAATAAAAGAAAAGAATTAAATCACATTATGACTCTGATTTAATACAGATATTGGAAGAAAAAAGACGTGAGGTTTCATTAGTCTTCTGTTTTATAACTAAGTTTAATTAAAAAAATTGATAAAACCAATTTAAAAAAAGATTTTTAATGGAATGGGTATAAAAATTTAAAGATCTTATGTTAATTCTTAGAAAAAAAATTAATGAAATACTACACAAAATAAACAGTGAAGTATATTTTGTTGGTTTGTAAAAAAGTGCTTATTACAAAATCTGACTTCAATTTTTTTTAAAAATGTTTGAGGTCCTTTGAAAGTCAAGGCTTTTTACTTGTAAATCTGGCCCTGATGGAACAATGTCAAAGCTGATGTTTTTTAACACAAAGGGCACAAATATGTATAGAACAATCTCACTCGTTTCGATACCACGTAATGACGTGTCCCACTAACAATAATTGTTCTCCTTCTATAAAATTTCTCAATAAACAGCTACAGGCAGCATATATTATTATATCAGACAGTAATATATGATTAATTTTACATTACTAGTTAGAAGCGACCCAGATAAAGTAGCCATTTTGTAAAAATGCAGCGTCCTCTATAGTTCATGAAAAATGCAAATACTTACTTATCAGTCATTTTGCTTTGTGATTTAACAAATTATTAAATGACAAGTGTTGCTATGATTTATATGAAATTGGTTATGTACAATGGGTGATCGGTTAATGAACATAATCCGTTCCATGACTTTTGTTTGTTAACCAATTATTGAATTACCATAGGTTTTTTATGGGAATTTGATGAATTCGTTCTGGAGACTCCAAAAAATAAAAAATATAAATAAATGTAGTAAAAAAAGTATATATGTAATACTGAAATAAAAATGCAAGACTGCATGTATATGTATTAGTCATGTTTTTTTCCTTTTGTGGGGGTTAAAGAATCTGTCCAATGTCGATTGCTTTTCTCTTTTCTTCAGGATTTTTTGGAAGTAATTAATAGTATTGTAATTGTAGAGATCCCCAAACCCCATAAACCTTATTCTGGTTTGGATGCCACTTGGATGATCGTTGTTGTGACATCCTCCTACTTCTTCAAAAGATCTTTAGTAGCAGATATTGACATTGGCCCTCTTTAGTCTTCCTATTTTTCAAAAGAAAACACATCTCGCCAAGTTTCTTGGTATTCTTCATTTGAGAGTTCTTAGAGTTCTGTCATCAGATCAGTTTCCATTATGAGCTCTAAAATGCTCTTTATTTCTCAGATGTGATTTTCATTACTCCATTAGCATCTTCAGACTTCTTGATATATCTTTCATAGCTAAGATTGTGCCTACTATAGACCTGTTCAAGCCATACAGCCTAGCAACATCAGACATCTTGTGCCCACTTTCTACCTTGGCTATTATCTCTTACTTGGTTTCTTGACACTCCTCTTTTAAGATTCCATAATATTATCAGTTTCTTTTTTAAATAAATAGTTCAGAAAAACACTTACAAAAAATCAGAGAACAGAAACCAACTAGCCCACAAAAAATTATTTAAATGCAAGGCCCGGATGAAATTTGGTATTAAAATGTTAATGAATATCTGATGGGACAGTTAATTCCTTTCACCTTTTGTAAATAAACTGCAACAAAAAACTTAACAAGTGCCTGTGCGACAGCCTCTCGAAAACAATAAAAAATTATTTTTCAGAAAGGTAAACAAAAAGCTGGAATTACAAGAGATGATTTCAAAATTCGTAGGAATAATATCTGATTGGTATAGGGTTGAGCGTCTATGTTGAAGTCTCCTGCGCTCCAAAAGGTTTCAAATTGTATCCTGAAGATAAGGGAAAATCAATCGGTATTCGTTATTTTCCGTCGCTTGTTTTTATGTTTGTTCAGTAAAGTGTTTGTTGCCCGATCATAAAAATCTTTCGTGAAAGTGTTCATTATCCAATTTGTTCGCTATCTGTACTCTTCGTTAACTGATCACCCACTGTATATTATTTTCAGAATATCTTTTTTCCTTTTAGCTTCCTGCCAAAATGCATTCTCTGATTCTGAGGGGACATTTGATTTTGTGGTTAATTTTGCAGCAGAGACGAAGACTGGTCAATCGGATGCTGTAAGCATTTCTTCCAAAATTACAAAATTATTTTACTTACGTAATAACAAAGTTTTGATTTTATATTAGGTATACAGGGAAGGAATCGTTAAACTCAGTATCAATTGTGCCAAAGAGTCTTGCAAGCAAAAAGTCAAGAGATATGTTGAAATAAGTTCTGGACAGGTTTATGCCAATGAAAAAGTGTGCATTTGAATAACACCCACTAGTTTTTAAAAATAATTTTTTTGCCAATAAAATGTGGTTTTCAGATGCCGTCTAAGGAAACTTCAAAGTTGGATCCATGGACCACAATGGGAAAACTGAAGTTAGAAGTTGAGAAGGAACTTTCTTCTTTTTCTGATCTCAATTATATTGTACTGAGACCCGCCATTGTATACGGAAAAGGCGATAAACAGGGACTTAGTAAATATTGAAAAGAAAATCATTTTTAAATGAAGGTAAATTTTATATATCATAAGAAAAGTCTAACAGAATTGTGTATTTTAGCACCACGACTGGTTGTGGGTGCAGTATACAAGCATTTGGGTGAAATGATGAAGGTAGGTAGCATTTTAAAGAAGAAATTTCTTCCATTAATTGTTATAATGTTTATTATTCTGTCACGTTAAGCTTCTTTGGACTAAAGATTTGAAAATGAACACCGTCCACGTAAGTGACGTCAGTCGAGCTGTTTGGCACGTTTGTATGAATGGAAAGAAGGGTGAAATATATAATGTTGTGGATAAAGGAGAATCGAGTGAGTTGCCTTTTGTTTTTACATTGAAATTTATAGAATATATTAACATACACAATTTTTCTAGCACAAGGTAAAATCAGCAGTATTATTTCGGATATCTTTAACATCAATCATGATTATTTCGGATCTGCCATGTCAACATTTGCAAAGGTATAAACATTTTTTAACAAACAAGGAAGTGTTGATAATGAATAACAAATGTTTTAATAAAGCAATAATTATTCCAGATGGATCTAAATAATTTAGTGGAAGAAATTAATGATAAACATCTTGGTCCTTGGGCTGAAGCATGTGCCAAAGATGGAATTTGCAATACTCCCCTTAATCCTTACTTACATTCAGTAAGTACATTAAGTGTGATTTTATTATTTGTGTGTCAATAAGTAAAATCTTTGTTTTAAATTGTAACTAGGAATTGCTTAATGATAAACATGTTAACTTGAACGGAAATAAGTTAGATGCCACGGGATTTGTTTATCAGGTGCCTAGTATAACTAAAGAAAACTTGAGAGAGGTAAGCACTTTTATGCCTCTGTTATCAGTTATTTTACATACACAATCTGCTGTTTTTTCCTTCAGGTCATAGATGACTATGTTGAAATGAACCTCTTTCCCAGGTCACTGGCACTGTGATCAGTGCTAGAAGAATTGCTCAATTATTTAAGAACTGTTTCATAGAAATGTTCTTCCTAGTCACGAAAAATTGCCAAGAAATTACAAATGAATCGAAAGAGAATGGAATGTATATTTCTGCTTTTAAATTAGAAATATTTTTCCGAATTTTTACTATAGTATTTTTTTATGAATTTCTCTTTCGTAGTGTTGTTGAATGCTGTAAGATATTTTAAATTTCCAATAAAATTAATTCTTTAGATCTTTGTATTAATAAAATTATGTATCATCAGCTTTACCATTATATAACTGCACATGCAAATACTTCATTTCTATAAAATAATCCTCAAAGTGTCTCTAACACAAACAACTACAAATGTAAGCAGACAAAATGCTGTTGTTTAATTAAATAATACCAATTTAGATAAGTAAAGCAGGACCTCTGGAGACAATCTAGAGGAATTTGCATTGTTACAAAGACCAAACATTAATCTATTTTATTTGATGTAATCATTCATAGAAATTATCTGATTCCATAGTAAACTGTTTACTAGTAATGTTCCATTTCACTTCTTGCTGTAATTACATAGCAGTTTTTTGCATAAGTGGAATAAAAAATTGTTCAGTATTAACAAATGTTTTCAGCACTTACAAAAAAATTGAATTTTCAAGTCCCTTATAAGCATCAATACTCCTTTAAACTATAGAAGTTTAAAGGAGTTTATTTTCTTCTAGTTATCTATTTTTAAATAAAAATTCTTCATATGCCAAAATATTTCACTATTTCTAAAGTCAATGTTTTTAGTACATTGTAATAAATTACAAACTTAAATTTGAAATCAGGTGTTGATCAAAATCTTCTTTTACAAGTTATCCACTCAAAAATGTGCACATTTTCAGAGCAACATTTCTCAAATCAAAAGTTTCTTAAAAAAAGCATTTACATAACTTTGTTTCTACTCCAAAGTTGTTATACATGTGAATTTTCTAAAAGTAAAATGAAATTGGTTCATCCTCATTCAAATATGTTAACCTGTTTATTCCAATTTGACAACATGAATTCTTCCTTTCTCAAAGGACGTGAAATGTCATGCTCGAACAATGATTGGAATGTATTGTTGAAACTATGAATTTTTTTCTTTTTCAAGTGTTTCTGATTTTCTGATCATGCACATACCTTTTTCACTGGCACTTTGCTTGTATTTTGTGTTGAGCTGATGGAGTCTACTTATGGATTTTGTAATAATATAGTGTGCTATCTATAGTATACAAATATTTATTTTCAACTTTGAGAATGTTTACATATGTATTGTGAGATATTTGATACATAACACATTGGAAAAACAAAGGAAACACATTATAGTTTTTACTGCATGTACTCAAAGTTTGTTCCTGTTTCATTTCAAATGCATTCTTTATCATCAGTGTTATTTTTATACATCAAAGGGTTTCAAACTTTGATGTATAAAAATAACTTGTTTCAATCAGTGGTGTTTTTACTAATTTCAGAAATGACTATTAAAGAATTTCTAAAACTTGAAGAAATAATTTCTGCCCAAGAGGAAAATTCAAATGTAGCAGCAGATGGTGTTTTGTTACTCCCTGGCAGTGGTGAAGGGTCTATTATGGATGAGGAAGAAAGTAACAATGATGAAATTTAAGTAACTACAGATGATCTAAAAGGTGAATAAAGAATTGGAACTCCACACAGAAAACCTTGAAGATCTGAATGATAAATATAAAAAAATGTAGTTGTCATTCACAAATAGTTGTAATATGGCATAAAACTGAAAATTCACAGATTCTTCTGAATGAAATGTGACTGTCTGTCTTCTAGTAAGAATAACATTTCCCTAATTCAAAAGCTTTGATTTGATCTGTATATTTTTTCAACAGAAACTAGACATGCTGCAGAGAAAAAGAATAAGAGTTTTGTCTCTGATGATGATTCCAGAAAAAACTTTATTTTTCTATCATTCTCTTTCCAGCGAAAAATTGTACTGGACAAAAGCAGATGATGTAACGGTCTTTTATTGTTCCAAACCAGATGGGTCATAACAATTTCAGGCAGTGAAGCAAAATTCGCTTATAACTGACAACAACTATTTGACTCCTGGGGAAGTAAAACCTTTCATAGATGCTGTGAAGGAATTCAGAATTCTTGAGCAACATTTCAATACAGATGAACAAAATGGTCTCTTAAAATAAGCTTTGGATACAAATTATGGGTACTGAGTTCTTCTTTGGGGTTTCCTTTCTGTATAGACTCACTGTGGAAAAAAATCAATAAGATAAGTTGGATGTTCTTAGTAGTAGTCATGAAAAATTTGTTGACCTGTGTCAAAAATTATACTTGGGCCACATTGTATTTATGGACATCTTCACCTCTGACTTACTGTCTAAATACAAATGGGTTTTTATGCAACCAAAACTGTACAAATGCAGCTTTAAAAACATAAAATTAAAGAACATAGGTTTGTTGGATGGTTGGGTTTGGTAATTGTGGTCTGTGTGGCCACCAATTATAACACTGTCCATCATCTAAATCAAGCAAAATAATACAGCCACTGTCAGAAAAAAGATTCCACAACCACACTTGATATCTATCTATAGTCACATAGGACAATCAGATCTGCTAGATCACTTCATTTTACAGATCAGTAATAAACCAAACAATGATACTGGCTTATATTTATGAACTGCATCTCATTATTAAGAATTACTTTTATGATGATTGTTCCCAATATTTCCAATTGACCAAAATAAACCAGCTACAGTTTACAATTGTCATAAGTTGGTTGATGTTTGCACATGAAACATCTTTGAGAACTGGACCACACAGGACAGCAGCACCAATGGACACTGCCATACCAGCAGAGCAGTGAGGCTACCACAAAGTGTCAAGAAAACACTCAAATGAAATGTATCGTGTACTTAGAACTGGAAATATGCCAAAAAGAAAACGTTACTTGTATATTCATTTTCTCTTCATGAATAAATGTTTACATTTAAAAGGAACAAATAAATAAAAATCAGCAAAAATATTAAATGGGTTAAATGACATTAAACAACAAAAGCAAATTGTTGTTAAAAAGAAAGTTTGAAATTTTAAATTTATAGCTTAATTTCAAAATTTGAATAGATAAATTTGAGAAGTTCAAAAGTTTTATTAAAATATTTTCAAAATTTAATAGTATTAAGTGAGTTGTAAGTGAATTAAATACTTAAAATAAAAAATAAGAGAAAAAAAATCTGTCAATAAAAAAATATTTAGAATTGGGTGAAGAAAGTGATGTAAAAAATACTGGTGTCAAAGTAAATTAACAATTATTTTTTATTAGTGTGAACACATTGTTGATAATCAGGTAGATCTATCAATTTTTCAATCTATTAAATAATTGATAATGATAATTAATAATAAAATTTTTCAATTCCATAAAATAATTATTGATAGATTACACAAGCATATATATATTTTCAATAAGGATGACATTCAAATATATTTTCAATCTAATTTCTTCTTACTTGAACATTCGGGCACATTGCACATTCTAAGCAAAACAATCATTCAACTTATTAGTTATATTGTATGTTTTTTTATATATATATCAGATGTGGCACTCCTTTGCAATCATCCAAAAAACAGCACATTGTTACATTTGTCCCAGCACCCATTCTTATATTTTCTTGCTTTCTTAGGAAGTCAAAGGTTAGATGCTTTTAGTTTTAGAAAGATGAAAAAATATTCTAAAGAAATGGATAATATATCATCATATTTAAAAAGAAATGTTTTTAGAATTAATACTAAATATTAATTACACAGCAATCACAAATAATCCAATCTGTGAAATTTGTTTAAAATGCAGAATTTTAAAAACTTATCTTTAGAAAACCAAATAACTTCTCAGATGAAAAAGCAATCTTTCTTTGGGAATGATTTCTTATTTATTTATAATCAGAATTCTACTAACCAAACAAAATTATTTACAGGGAAAATCAATATCAAATTATTAACAACTAATTATAGAATAGCATTTGTTTGGCACTGCAAGCCTTGTGGTTCCATATTGAGTAAAGAATGTCACAAAAATTAATACCATTTTTATACTGTTGTTAAACTTTGTTTTCAATTTCAATAATTTCTTCTTAATTATTGCTTAAAGCCAGTTTTAAATAAAAATTTCATTTGAATAGTGCAGATTCTGCAGTTATTTGCAATTCAATTGTCTCATTTTCATTAAGTATTAATTAAAACTATTATGAAGTAACAAAGATTTTTGAAATCTGCAATTTTTGATTAAAACATTTTATAATTTATAGATTTTGAAATAAATATTGCAACTGAAATAGTTTGTCTAATCCTATATTTCTACCTACAGTTTTCTTTTGGTCCAAGGTCAGTTATTTTTAAATGGGACTTTGAACAAACTATATTTTATATTTTACATCCAAAAGGATTTTGAAAAATTTTAATATATAGCTTAAACAACAGACTATTTTAAATCCTGAATTTATAAAATGCATCTGATAAAAGTCACTAATACTACATAAGGAAAACTGAAAAGATAAACTAGTTTCTTTCTAACAAACAATCTTAGATGTTCATTTCATACCACACTTTACATTGAATCGGATAATTATTCAATTCACAAATTACAGTGCATCATCAAAATCAGATCTATTCTTATGTTGATTTCTTAAGTCGTTAAATCTTTCATCTAAATTGGATGCAATTATATTTTCACATACATATATATATAATAGTAATAATAAAATCAAAAAAGTATGAATTATAAAAAGGTATCAATTTTGACAAATAGTGACAGAAAACAAGTTTTCCACTGTACAACTATGAACAAGTTTTATATTATATATGAAGTAATCAAATTCCTCTTAAATTTAACAAATTTATAGTCATCTTGAAGAATGTTCATTGTGAAGACCTGGAAGAAAAACAAAATTCAGTACTGAAGCTGTACAATAGTGATAATCTATCCCACTGAAGATGATATGAATCTTACAGGATTTTCATAGAATACAAAAATTTTTTAAAGTATATTTATCTTGCAAGCAAATCTCGACCGATCTCTTGTAGTATTTAAAACATAGTCGAAACCATCCAGATACTAATATGAAGCTTAGATTATTATTTCAAAGAAAATTTGGATACAACAATATAAAGCTTACATTTGGTCTGTTCTAAAAAAAATTTACCACTTAACAATGATGCGTGAATCTTTCGTCTACGGAAATTTCTGTCGATTACACGTGAGACATCAAATATAGCAATCACCATACAATGAAATGGGTTTTGTATTTTACAATTACGAGTAAAGTTAGGACAGTTCAACCATGCAAAAATAATTACGAAAAAATATTCTTACATTAAATGAAAACTCCACCTTTCACCTTTATAAGTGGCAATTTAGAATTGCTCGGGAAACCAAACTGAACAATCTGCTAGAAACAGTACCCTTCATTAATAGTCACAAAAGTGAAAAGTAGAGGAATAATTACTGTGCATTAACTATGCCTTCACAAAAATAATAGCTATCTATGACTGGCAGCATTGTTTTTTACGCAAATCAGAGCTATCGGTTGGAGGAATGGTTATAGGCTTAATGTTATCTCCTGTTGGTGACGGATCATTATCAGTATCATTTCTGATCTGCTTTTGTGAAACTATACGGTAAATTTCTGAAAAATAAATAAAATTGTATGAGAAGACTTTAATAAAATAAACCACAAGCTAATACAACAGCACTTTAATATTAAATTTATAAAAATTAAGTTATCAAATAAGTTTGTTAGAAATACAGAATTTACATTTTAAAATACAGTGGTGCCTCGTATAACGTACACCTCAAATAACGGACGCTGCGAACAACAGACTTTCTGTTTGGCTGTTATGTGAGGCGAACAACAAACTTTTTGCGAACAAGTGCGAATAATGTTTTCACTCTTTTACCATTAATCTGCTATTTTTATAATATATTAGTATTATTAGAATATATTATTAGTATATCTAAAGTACAGAGCTCCCGTTGGGATTCAGCTTGCTTCCTTGTTTATTACATACATCACCTCAGTGCAGAGTATTTACATTTATTCAAGTGTTGTGCAAATCATGGCTTCTAAAAAAAACAGAAAGGTGATTTCAACTGAAACAAAGAAGAAATCATCAAAAGGAGCGAAAGTTGACAAAAACTTCCTTGTCGAATGGGGAAGAGGTTCAGGAGTTTACCAACACTCATTATCCAAAGAGCTGAGGCCAACCGGATCAATGATCTCTACAATGACACCCTTGCCAGTCATTTCTGACAGGTGTTGAAGAAGAGAAACAAACCACCTTGGACATGTTTTTCAAGAAGCTGCAGGCAAAAAACAAAGGATGGAACACGAGGTGTTGACCCTGCAAGCTCCTGTAGCCTCTCCTGAATCTGACTCCGATTAAAAAACAATAAAAAGAGACCTGCTGCAATGTGTAAAAAGTCTATCTGTATGAATGTGTGAAGAAAGTGTTCCTCCACCTCCTCCTCACATCATCTGACTACCCGGCATAATTGGTGACTGCTCCATTTTCATTTTTTTTTATGATACAGTATGGTTATTTTATGCTGCGGAATGAATTGTATGTTTTAACATGTATTTCTATGGGAAAATGCATTTCATATAACGGACGTGCACCTGGAACGAATTAAGTACGTTATACGAGGCACCACTGTATTTAACTAATAAAGATTACAATCTATTCTTAATAATTATACATCACAAAATGTTACCTTGCATTTAATTTACTTTAAATATATTTGATTCATATTTTCTTAAAACTAAAATTTATTTACTTCACTTTTTCACTTAGTAAAGTTTTTTAAATTTTAATTAAAACATTTTTTAAAAAATGAGAGAATTATTTTTGAATGATTGGAAAACAATCTTTTGTAAAAAGGTTTCCTTATTCTAGACTAAATTAATACTTTTCAGATAGATCATTACATTTAATTATTTATTCAATGTACATAATAAACTAGACAAGAATTTTATATTTAAGATTAATTTTATTTTCGTGAAAAAAAATTAAAATCAGCAAAACACTGGTTCTTAGATAATTTAATTTTCAATAAATTTTAAAAACTTTATAAAATGCATTTAAAAACAAATTTCTAATCTCTGTTAGACATAGGAAACTTTAAAATCTCAAGATATGAAAACTATCCAGTTGTTAACTACATAGTAAATTGTAACATGGATTGATTATATAATGCAACAGTTTCTAATGTGTTGGTAATAAATATAATCAATGAGTGAACAAAGTATCAAAATTTTGGATATGAAACTAAAAATTTGCATTTATGATTAAGAAATTTCGAAACTTTAAAATGTACATTTATCTTCTTAAAATTACTTCAGACTAAACACTATAATATATAGTTATTTTAAGTGATGTATGTGGTATGAAATGTAAGTTTTAAAATGTGACTTTTAAATATTTTAAAAAACTTACCTGTTAGTATTTGTTGGAAGGCTGCTTCCACATTTGTAGAATCCAAAGCAGATGTTTCAATGAATGATAAATTATTTTTCTCTGAAAATAATATATATATTCTAAATATATAGTTTCATTAAAAATTTGATATCATCAAATATATGAAATTCCTTATAATTATTATTAAATGCTATAAAATAAACATAACTATAGTAAATACATTGTGATAGTTATCTGTTTAATATATAATATCACTAGTACAGATTTCTTCCCAATTGTTTATTCTGAGAAGTTTTTCATCAACATGTAAAAATAAATCACCACAAATTATGGATGGTTGAATATTTACTAAAGTTATTCATATTATAAAAATGAATCAAAACAGATTGATTTTTTTTCCTCCCATAATAATCACTTGGAATATAACAAACAACCATAGTCTTTTCCAAATATTCCCCCATAGAATTCAATCACTATCATTGTCAATCCTTAACGATTTTTAATAGCCCATCCTTTAAGATTTTTTTAAAAATTGTCTCTGACCACTGCTATTATGAATAGGAAATGGGTTTCTCATAACTTCAACTTAGGTGCTAGGGATAGGAAAAGATTCACAGTACCAAATCTGAGCTGTACAATGGATGTGGGATAGGCAACATTTTCTCTTGGCCAAAAACTCAATCATCACATTAGCAATGTTCATATGCACATTGTCACAGTACTTATGATCCAAAAGTGAGTGCAAAACTAATTAGTAGTACTATCCAATAACTGTTGTATGTGTTGGCACACCCATGTCAGAACACTATTTGGTAATCAACGAAAGTGGTAATTATCGTTTAAAAAAAATTCACAAAAAATTCTTCTTTAAACATAACTGTATTAGTGTCCTTCATCTGTTGTTTCTTCATACACCTTTAGGATATAACAATTTCACAAGCAGAGATGACCTTTCTTTTTGAAGCTACTATTCCTTGCCTCAAAATGTAGACATTAAAAAAGTTCCATCTGGCAGTGGCTTGCACACTAAAAGATATAATACATTTAAAAATTATATTAGTTGGGACATAAATATACTTCAAAAAAATTTTTTAAAGTATGTTTATGCCCTGACTAATATTTTAAAAAGTGGTGATTATCTTCTTGCCAGCTGATGGAGCAACTCTGGTCTTTTTTTTAATTGGATGGTGATTTCCACACTGTGCTGAAACCTGTATGCTTTCAGGATTGAAGTGAAATAGCCAGTTTCATCACCAGTGATAACTAATTGCAGAAATGTAACAGCTAGATCAGCTATCAAATGTACTACTATTGGTATATTTCTATCTGGATATGTTTCTGCTAAGGGATCTAAAAAACCAGAAAATCCAGTGAGAACAAATGTGCAAATAATTGTATGTATGAGAGTGAGTCAAAAAGTAAGTTGCACTCATACCAAAAATAAAAGTATGAAACATAGGAGCCAAAAATTTTTATTTGTGTGAATGTACAATTCAAGTGCTATTTTTTGATATGATCACCAAGTTTATTTAAACATGTAACAGTGTGGCACAAGTTTTTCCATTCCTTCTTGGAAATATTCCTGTCCAAATAAAATAACCATTCTCGCACTGCATTTGTGATGTCTTCATTGGACTAGTATTGGCAATTTGAAAGGTCTTTTTTTATGGAGTCGAACACAAGGTGCAAGGTCTGGACTGTAGGATGTTCCCATACTGTTCATTTGATTTATTCCAATAAGTCCTTCATAATTCCCACTGAATGAGGTGTGACATTGTCATGCAAATGCTTTCTCACTGTACACTTCCCTCAACTGACACTGAATTTCAGTGGGATTACACCTTTTTGCCCATAAGAAACAAGTTGCTGCATGACCTTCCAATTTAGACTCATCATCTTTCATAATTGAAACCTCTGCAATCATGTAAACAAATCTTGCATGCCTTGAGCCTGAAGTATTACCAGTGTTACCACTAGATTTCATCTAAATATCAATAAAAAGTTCTTGCCAATTGCAACTTGCTTTTTGACTCTCCCTCATAATTATATGGACATTCCCAAAGGAAATGAACACACTGGCAACTTCATCAATGGTAATTTTGTGATCTTCTCCAAAGATTATACTTGTGGTATTAAAAAGTTTTTCAAACAGTCAATCTGTCAATGAGTTTTTCAAACAGTCAATCAAAATGCTGTAAATGGTGAAAAAAGGTTATCTCACTATATGTCTTACTATTTCATAAGCTTCTGTAGCTATTTTTTTATAAATGGAAGCAAAATTTCAGTGATGTGTATTTGATCATAGAAAGCACATCATGTTCAACTTCCATTTGTCTTAGGTGAGCAGCAGATTACATTTGATATAAAGCCAAATAAAGTATCATAGATTCTATGTAATTTTTTGGATAGATGCAGTGAAAAACATTTATTACACTGATATCAAAATTTAAAAAATTCATCACATATCTGAAAGATAGTTTAACTAACATGTTTATAAAAATTGATGCCATATTATAAATAATTATTCAAAATGTTGCAAGATAACATGATTAGAAGTTTTCTTGTATAATTAGTTTTGTATCAAAATTTAAGATAAACAAACTATTCACCATCTCAAGACTAAATTTATAATATGACAACAAAAAACAGACCTATCATAGGAATTTAACATTTTAATAGCTATCTATAAATTCAGCTGATTATTTTCCCCAATTAGAAAATTAATCATTTATTTATTTAATACAACAAATGAACAATTCCATCAAAAACATTACAATACAATAGTGTCATATTGTAATGTTTTTGATATAGAAATCATTTAGATAAAATATGAAATAATTTTCAAAGAGAAAATAATTGCAAAATAAACACTTATTTTCATTCATTCTCAAAAGCAAATATCAATTGTCATCAAAAATAAAACATACATGATAATGTTAGAATTATTAATAAAGTAAATAGCAGTTAATAACAAAATCAGATATTTATTAATCTGTGAAGCAACTTTCCAAACACTCATATATACTACACATTATAAACAATGCAAACGAAAAGCACTTTAAAAGTGTTATCAGAAGATATTTTTTCTTCAATTTTGTTACGATCAACTCCTAGTATATGCCATTTAAGAACTAACAAGGAAAGGACACTGTTAAGGGACAAAGGTGGCAAAACCAAACCTGATCTATCTAAAAGAACTTAAAGCTATGTTGACACAAAAATTCAGATGCCATCACTGAATGAGTAAAAAATTGTTGAAATAAAAACAACATAATGAAAAGATTTCAAATTCAAAAGTTTTGTTGATGTACAGAAAGTGCTAGGTGCAGTGTGTGTAACTGAACAAGTAAACAATGATCAAAGCAAAAACACCTTTCACAACGAGCACACTTCATAAATGCAAATGTAGAACATTCATTTTCTTTGAATTTCTTAGAGAGATTACATTTAAAGCAAAATGCTAAGGGTGTTTCAAATAATCCAGGCCTTTCTAACAAATATCACATTTTAAAAATGCATACTGTATCAGATTTTTGGATCATAGTGCCAAGAAATGAAAACAAACTTTTGCTTACTTTTCAGAGATTACTTTTGCAACAAACTTTTGCAAACTTTTCAGAGATTACTTTGTGCTTACAAACTTTCGTTTGTAAGCACAAAGTAATCTCTGAAAAGTTGATGTTTATCAGCATTTTCTTGAAAAATATCTCTCTACTATGTTGGCCATGGCACCTAAATTTTTGTGCATCAATACATCTTTTTAAAGTTTGGTTTTGCTAATTTTATCCTCAAATAGCATTCTTTTCTTGTAAGTACATATTGGCATAAATGCTAACCTGAGAGGAAAGCCATCAGGATAGTACAGGATAATATAGTACTGTATGTCATGATTGGAGAGCAGGGGTAGATGGTGACATTACTCCCCATTAACCTTACTTATAAAATGATATTGCTCCAATTTTGAGAGATTCATAAACTATCTTACTTTAATTTTAAAATAAGTTACAAGGTTTTCAAATCATCATCTGAAACAAAATTATAAAATAATCAAATTTATGAAATTAATTTCTTTATGTCGTCATTAAATACACAGTATAAATAGAAAAAAACCGAACTTTATCACAATTATTCCAAAAATTTTAAAATACAGATTTTTAAAATAAATTAAAATTGATATTTCTCATTCAACATAAAATTTGTTTAATTGACAATCATTTGTCTACATCATCTACACATTTCACTTGGGTTTTTTTCTGCACACCCAATTGTGACTTAAGTACAGTAGACTCCCCTATAACATGGAAGATAATTCCGTTTTATATGAATTCCATGTTTTACAAGTCACTTAAATACATGAGCCAATCACAGCCCAGCATGTGTGCAGTTTAGGGACTACAGCTGTTTGAAAGGTTTTCTCCATAAAATTAATCGATTTTAGACTAATCTGACTCAATATTTCCAAAACACGTATAATTTTTTGGGAATAATCCATATAAACTATGCTATAAACAAAAAATTGTAGGATTACTTATCGAGTGTGCACCGTTCAATGACACCATTGCTTAAGCTTGTTTTCATCATGCAGTGGTGCATTGAACGGTGGGCACATGTTTCCTGACAAATTATTTTTTGAGAAAAATTTGCTGAACTTTGGAGACATCATTAATATAAATATAATTTTTATGGCCGTTAAATAATAAATGGTTTTAGTAGATCCACTGCTCGTTTAAACTCAATGGTTTGTGCAATATCCGCTATTGGTCTAGATTCGACCAATCCTGTCACAACACGAGTCGGCAATGACGTTTTACCGCATTTTACGAGTATCTTTTAGTGTCTTTATATGAAAACGGTCGCAATTTTTTTGCCGTTATATACAAATTCATATTATATGAACCCATTTTATAGGGGGTCTACTGTACATCATTTTTAGATTCAACCATAAGTTAGTTTCAGACAGATTTTAGCACAAGACTCAGTTATGCATATGAATAATTTTTAGAGAGACTTAGTTGGTCGCTTACAAACTGAAAACACCTGGTGATGCATTCCACATCATTGGTATAAAATTACTGACCAGTGTAAAACTCATCATATTAGTAATTCTATGCAGAATAAGTGTTAATTAAAATTTACACTTCCATTTATTGCATTAGTGTGTTTATTTGAGAGTATAAAAGATTGATCAATAGTTTTTAGACAATTATCTGTAAGTCTTACTTATGCATGGCTTCAATAGAAACTATGGAAAATCTGTAGTGATTGGCATCTCTGTATTGGTATTTTGGAATAAGAGTACCTATTTTTGTTACTTTAAAACAATTTATAATTTCTAGCTCTAAAGCTATGTTTTTTAGCTAAATCTGTAATATTTTAGTGAAGTAATTAGCAACATTTATTTTCATTCATCCTGTTTTTATGCAATAAAGAAATAATAAATTCTAATTGATTTTGGATGACTAAAAAAAAAAAAGTTTCTTTAGTCATCCAAAATGCATTGGAAAGACTGCACATTATCTGATTAAAATGAAGCCCTAAATTTTCTCCTCTCTTTATCCAAAATAGTATAGATAAAGACAGAATTTTAACTTTTGTTTTTGCTTTAGCCATTCATTTTTGATCATGTCAGCTTGATTTGATTTTTGTGACTTAAATATAGTGCCCTTTATATGAATAAAATTCAAAATTAATGGATTGTTACATATTTTAGCCAAAAAACTTGGATAAAGCTAGCATTAGCCAATTAATCCTAGCTTTATCCAATTCATGGATTATAACAAACTAACACAATATATAATAACAGTGTATTATTGCATAGGAGGCATTAGCAAATTGCTAAATAAATGTATTAAGCAAATAGTTTTGCTAAAAACATTACAAATGCCTCTTATGTGATTAATGCAGACTCAAATAAGAAATAATCAAAGTTTCCTTCCAGAACCACAGGTCCTGATAAGTTCATTCCAATTAGGGGGAAATCACCACTGTCATTAAGGTCTCATTGACAAACTGGGTTAACAGTGTCAACCTGGTAGAAGTCAATTGGCTACTGCATAAAAATGTCCAATACAGCCCTCTTCGTGTCATTCTACATCTGCAACAGTTCTCCTTTCAGTTCTTTTTCAGAGATCAAAGGTATAAAAATTGCACAGTGAGATATGGATTTTACAGCCTCAAAGGTTTCCCCATTTAAGGATGTTCAACTTCTGCTTGATGGCAATGTCAACGTGAGATGGCATATTGTTGCAATCTTTATAGAATCTTGCATATTATTTCACAACAGTAATTTTAGACAGGCATGTATTCCCCACAAATCTTCATTATCCTGTGTGAATAACCATTGGTTTATGTCCTTCTGCAGCCAAAAAACAGAACAATGGCACATTGATATGATTATTTGGACATTTGATAGCAATGATATAATGAATTAGTGTACCACATGTTCCACAGTTTTCTGAGTGTAACAAATATCTTACTGATCACATAGCTAGATCACTCACTGGCTTTGTATCAGCTCATTCAGGACACTGGACACATCATATGCATGACTAATGTAGTCAAACTTTTTTATTATTCCCTTATATGTTTTTATAAACATAAAAAAGTTTCATTTTAATTTTATTTTTCTGTAGGTTTGACATTATTCATACAAATCTGAATATTACTAGAAGTAAACATCAACATTAATTCATGTTTTCAAAGCATTCTATTTCTAAGTAAATGCTAAAATATTTTAAAATCATGTTAAGTAAAAACATTACCAGCAAAAGTTCTAGCTTCATCTGTTGGTACTGCTCTTAAATGACGAAGATCACTCTTATTCCCTACAAGCATTATTACAATATTTTGATCAGCATGATCTCTAAGTTCTTTTAGCCATCGTTCAACATTTTCATAGGTTAAATGTTTTGCAATATCGTATACCAGAAGGGCTCCAACTGCACCACGATAATATCTAAAACAGATAAAATATTTTAATAATTTAAAAAAATAAAAATTCAATACCTTTATAAAATTTAAATTAATATTTATATAAGAGAAAACTTAGCTTTATAATTATAGAATTAGCTTTCCAAATTTACAATACTTGATAGCTTCTACATATATACATATTTTTTGAACATTGTATATCCTCTATCAGAGAATACATGCAATGAACAAGGTAGTTATAATTAAGTAGTAGGTTTTCAGAGTTCTCTGTAGAAAGAAATATTGGGCAAATCTCAACCTCATTTAGTATATATATTGTTCCAAGTATGCAGTTTCAACTTTTTGGAAAAAACTTTACTTCAAAATTCAGCCACTAAGGGAAAATGTGGTGTGCTCTCTGTATTAAGAAATATTGGGCAAATCTCAACCTCATTTAGTATATATGTTGTTCCAAGTATGCAGTTTCAACTTTTTGGAAAAAACTTGACTTCAAAATTCAGCCACTAAGGGAAAATGTGGTGTGCTGCTGTCCTCTTAAACAGCTACTTTGTAAAATATACTTTAGCAGATTAGGAAGACCACAACAACATATCTTAAGAGGGCATTTATATTTTCTAGCAGGGATCATCCATCAATCAATTTTATGTAATAATATAGAGGGTTTTTATAATTCACATACATATAATTAGGAATAATTACTGAAAATTTGCAATGACTGACATCTTAAAATTCATAATAATTTTCTCTCTCTAAATCAGAATTTACAAAACTATCTACTTAATATATGAAACTATTTATTTGTCGAAACCGTGTCATCGTCGTCTTGTTTCTTCTAATTCAATGTCATGACTTGGTGAATTTATCGACACTTGGCAAATAATTTCATCTTCCACTTTTAATTCATACTTTAATTCATATTTAATTCTCTATGAATTAAAAGTGGATGATGAAATTATTTGCCAAATGTCGATAAATTCACCAAGTCGTGACATTGAATTAGAAGAAACATATGAAACTATGTTACATAAAAATAAGAAAATATTAAAAAAATTTCTTCCAAACCAATTAATCAAGGCACAATTATGTGTATAAGTGGATCAAATTTAATTTGTAATAAAACACTTGTATACCATTTAGACTTAATTGATATAATAATTTGAAGAGTTAATATAGACCTTGTGCATGACATATTTCACATTATAAAAATGTCCATTATAACTTTAAGCACAATGTACCAGTATAAGTGTAAAAAAAGTTTCACATTAGAAGTTTATTTTATGAAATAGCAGAACCAATCATATTTGATTCTTTATTGACATCAATGCATTATCATAATTATGCACGACCACATATGAGTCTGGTGTTTGTCAGCCATATTGTTTTTGCTTTCATATATGTGTTTGCATTCTTGCTTTTAGATAACAATTAAATAATTATCAGATGATAATCTTCAATATCTCCAGGAGAAAAAGTGAGAGCTAAAGCTCTCCATTCATGTTTGTTATATTTTTACATCATAACAAGCTTGGATGCACAAATATATTTACCAGACATTATAATTATAAACACCATGTGTTTATAATTATGTCTGGTAAATATAATGTAAAATACATCATATGTAAAATGTAACAAAGAATGCACAACTCTTATGATCCCATATAGTAAAAAGTATAATATTGATATACAGTAGACCCCTCTATAACGCGGGTTCCTATAATGCAGATTCCTATAACGCGGCAAAAAAATTGCAACAGTATTCGTATAAATACGCTAAAAGGGATGTATAAAACGTCATCACAGACTCGTGTTGTGACAGGATTGGTCGAATCTGGACCAATAGTAGACGAGCAGCCAAACTACTTACACACTACAGAGAGTTTAGACAGGTAAGTTNATCTTTCAATTTTTCAATCTATTAAATAATTGATAATGATAATTAATAATAAAATTTTTCAATTCCATAAAATAATTATTGATAGATTACACAAGCATATATATATTTTCAATAAGGATGACATTCAAATATATTTTCAATCTAATTTCTTCTTACTTGAACATTCGGGCACATTGCACATTCTAAGCAAAACAATCATTCAACTTATTAGTTATATTGTATGTTTTTTATATATATATCAGATGTGGCACTCCTTTGCAATCATCCAAAAAACAGCACATTGTTACATTTGTCCCAGCACCCATTCTTATATTTTCTTGCTTTCTTAGGAAGTCAAAGGTTAGATGCTTTTAGTTTTAGAAAGATGAAAAAATATTCTAAAGAAATGGATAATATATCATCATATTTAAAAAGAAATGTTTTTAGAATTAATACTAAATATTAATTACACAGCAATCACAAATAATCCAATCTGTGAAATTTGTTTAAAATGCAGAATTTTAAAAACTTATCTTTAGAAAACCAAATAACTTCTCAGATGAAAAAGCAATCTTTCTTTGGGAATGATTTCTTATTTATTTATAATCAGAATTCTACTAACCAAACAAAATTATTTACAGGGAAAATCAATATCAAATTATTAACAACTAATTATAGAATAGCATTTGTTTGGCACTGCAAGCCTTGTGGTTCCATATTGAGTAAAGAATGTCACAAAAATTAATACCATTTTTATACTGTTGTTAAACTTTGTTTTCAATTTCAATAATTTCTTCTTAATTATTGCTTAAAGCCAGTTTTAAATAAAAATTTCATTTGAATAGTGCAGATTCTGCAGTTATTTGCAATTCAATTGTCTCATTTTCATTAAGTATTAATTAAAACTATTATGAAGTAACAAAGATTTTTGAAATCTGCAATTTTTGATTAAAACATTTTATAATTTATAGATTTTGAAATAAATATTGCAACTGAAATAGTTTGTCTAATCCTATATTTCTACCTACAGTTTTCTTTTGGTCCAAGGTCAGTTATTTTTAAATGGGACTTTGAACAAACTATATTTTATATTTTACATCCAAAAGGATTTTGAAAAATTTTAATATATAGCTTAAACAACAGACTATTTTAAATCCTGAATTTATAAAATGCATCTGATAAAAGTCACTAATACTACATAAGGAAAACTGAAAAGATAAACTAGTTTCTTTCTAACAAACAATCTTAGATGTTCATTTCATACCACACTTTACATTGAATCGGATAATTATTCAATTCACAAATTACAGTGCATCATCAAAATCAGATCTATTCTTATGTTGATTTCTTAAGTCGTTAAATCTTTCATCTAAATTGGATGCAATTATATTTTCACATACATATATATATAATAGTAATAATAAAATCAAAAAAGTATGAATTATAAAAAGGTATCAATTTTGACAAATAGTGACAGAAAACAAGTTTTCCACTGTACAACTATGAACAAGTTTTATATTATATATGAAGTAATCAAATTCCTCTTAAATTTAACAAATTTATAGTCATCTTGAAGAATGTTCATTGTGAAGACCTGGAAGAAAAACAAAATTCAGTACTGAAGCTGTACAATAGTGATAATCTATCCCACTGAAGATGATATGAATCTTACAGGATTTTCATAGAATACAAAAATTTTTTAAAGTATATTTATCTTGCAAGCAAATCTCGACCGATCTCTTGTAGTATTTAAAACATAGTCGAAACCATCCAGATACTAATATGAAGCTTAGATTATTATTTCAAAGAAAATTTGGATACAACAATATAAAGCTTACATTTGGTCTGTTCTAAAAAAAATTTACCACTTAACAATGATGCGTGAATCTTTCGTCTACGGAAATTTCTGTCGATTACACGTGAGACATCAAATATAGCAATCACCATACAATGAAATGGGTTTTGTATTTTACAATTACGAGTAAAGTTAGGACAGTTCAACCATGCAAAAATAATTACGAAAAAATATTCTTACATTAAATGAAAACTCCACCTTTCACCTTTATAAGTGGCAATTTAGAATTGCTCGGGAAACCAAACTGAACAATCTGCTAGAAACAGTACCCTTCATTAATAGTCACAAAAGTGAAAAGTAGAGGAATAATTACTGTGCATTAACTATGCCTTCACAAAAATAATAGCTATCTATGACTGGCAGCATTGTTTTTTACGCAAATCAGAGCTATCGGTTGGAGGAATGGTTATAGGCTTAATGTTATCTCCTGTTGGTGACGGATCATTATCAGTATCATTTCTGATCTGCTTTTGTGAAACTATACGGTAAATTTCTGAAAAATAAATAAAATTGTATGAGAAGACTTTAATAAAATAAACCACAAGCTAATACAACAGCACTTTAATATTAAATTTATAAAAATTAAGTTATCAAATAAGTTTGTTAGAAATACAGAATTTACATTTTAAAATACAGTGGTGCCTCGTATAACGTACACCTCAAATAACGGACGCTGCGAACAACAGACTTTCTGTTTGGCTGTTATGTGAGGCGAACAACAAACTTTTTGCGAACAAGTGCGAATAATGTTTTCACTCTTTTACCATTAATCTGCTATTTTTATAATATATTAGTATTATTAGAATATATTATTAGTATATCTAAAGTACAGAGCTCCCGTTGGGATTCAGCTTGCTTCCTTGTTTATTACATACATCACCTCAGTGCAGAGTATTTACATTTATTCAAGTGTTGTGCAAATCATGGCTTCTAAAAAAAACAGAAAGGTGATTTCAACTGAAACAAAGAAGAAATCATCAAAAGGAGCGAAAGTTGACAAAAACTTCCTTGTCGAATGGGGAAGAGGTTCAGGAGTTTACCAACACTCATTATCCAAAGAGCTGAGGCCAACCGGATCAATGATCTCTACAATGACACCCTTGCCAGTCATTTCTGACAGGTGTTGAAGAAGAGAAACAAACCACCTTGGACATGTTTTTCAAGAAGCTGCAGGCAAAAAACAAAGGATGGAACACGAGGTGTTGACCCTGCAAGCTCCTGTAGCCTCTCCTGAATCTGACTCCGATTAAAAAACAATAAAAAGAGACCTGCTGCAATGTGTAAAAAGTCTATCTGTATGAATGTGTGAAGAAAGTGTTCCTCCACCTCCTCCTCACATCATCTGACTACCCGGCATAATTGGTGACTGCTCCATTTTCATTTTTTTTTATGATACAGTATGGTTATTTTATGCTGCGGAATGAATTGTATGTTTTAACATGTATTTCTATGGGAAAATGCATTTCATATAACGGACGTGCACCTGGAACGAATTAAGTACGTTATACGAGGCACCACTGTATTTAACTAATAAAGATTACAATCTATTCTTAATAATTATACATCACAAAATGTTACCTTGCATTTAATTTACTTTAAATATATTTGATTCATATTTTCTTAAAACTAAAATTTATTTACTTCACTTTTTCACTTAGTAAAGTTTTTTAAATTTTAATTAAAACATTTTTTAAAAAATGAGAGAATTATTTTTGAATGATTGGAAAACAATCTTTTGTAAAAAGGTTTCCTTATTCTAGACTAAATTAATACTTTTCAGATAGATCATTACATTTAATTATTTATTCAATGTACATAATAAACTAGACAAGAATTTTATATTTAAGATTAATTTTATTTTCGTGAAAAAAAATTAAAATCAGCAAAACACTGGTTCTTAGATAATTTAATTTTCAATAAATTTTAAAAACTTTATAAAATGCATTTAAAAACAAATTTCTAATCTCTGTTAGACATAGGAAACTTTAAAATCTCAAGATATGAAAACTATCCAGTTGTTAACTACATAGTAAATTGTAACATGGATTGATTATATAATGCAACAGTTTCTAATGTGTTGGTAATAAATATAATCAATGAGTGAACAAAGTATCAAAATTTTGGATATGAAACTAAAAATTTGCATTTATGATTAAGAAATTTCGAAACTTTAAAATGTACATTTATCTTCTTAAAATTACTTCAGACTAAACACTATAATATATAGTTATTTTAAGTGATGTATGTGGTATGAAATGTAAGTTTTAAAATGTGACTTTTAAATATTTTAAAAAACTTACCTGTTAGTATTTGTTGGAAGGCTGCTTCCACATTTGTAGAATCCAAAGCAGATGTTTCAATGAATGATAAATTATTTTTCTCTGAAAATAATATATATATTCTAAATATATAGTTTNTAACATTATTTTAATATGTATCACTTAAGAAAATTTTAATAAAGATATTTAACTTAATTATGAAAATATAGTAGCATGTTTTTTTAATTTTTGGAACCTAACCCTCCTTTTCGTACTAGTTCTTTGATTCGCATAACACGGCAATTTTTTGGAACGTAACTACCGTGTTATACGGGGGTTACCTGTAATTCAATTTACAAATACCACAAAATACAACTATAATAATATTCTCATTAAATGACCACAAAAACTCAATTGAGAAAGTACTTACGCACTAGTGATTGCTCTGTATCGTTCCTGCCCAGCAGTATCCCAAATTTGAGCCTTTATAGTTTTCCCATCTACTTGGATACTCCGTGTAGCAAATTCCACTCCAATTGTACTCTTGCTTTCCAAATTGAATTCATTTCTTGTGAATCGTGATAAAAGATTGCTTTTTCCTACTCCAGAATCTCCAATAAGGACAACTATTTAATACATAAATTATTTTTTTATGATTTTCATTTACTAAATTATTTTATATATTTACGACAATACTATGGTTAAACTTTATATGAAATTTAATTTTCAAGAGTATATGCTATTTCTCATATATGCAAACCTGATAAAACTTTAGAGATAAGCTTTTTAAGAAAACTTTAAAACTTATGAAATCAGCATTTCATAAGTTTTAAAGTTTTCTTAAAAAGTAAATTATTATTAAGTAAACTCTTAATAATCAGCATTTCATAAATAACATAACAATCAAAATCATAAGCCATAACAAATCAAAAATTATAGTATTAGATTGAATATGAAATTTGTCAAAATTTTATACCACATTTGGATAATTAAGCTGAACGGTGCACAATTGGTAAGTAATTCTACAATTTTTTGTTTATAGCATAGTTTATACAGATTATTCCCAAAAAATTATACATATTTTGGAAACATTGAGTCGAATTAGTCAAGAATCGATTAATTTTATGGAAGAAAACCTTTCAAACAGCTGTAGTCCGTAAACTTAACACGTGTTGGGCTGTGATTGGCTCGCATATTTAAGGATTCCTACAACGCAAAATTCTTATAAAGCAGAACGTATCTACTGCGTTATAGGGGGTATACTGTATAGCATTAAACGAAAAATCAAATAAAAATTTGCAATCCTGCCTTTTTGAATATTGAACATTGCAGTCTTTAATAGCAGAACAGTTCCATAGGAAATCTAATATCCAATCTAAAACATTACATGCAAAAATGCATTAATTTATGCTTTAGTAACTTTATGTATACACATACACATTTAATATTTCAAAAGCAATTTTATGATTATGGCTAATGATTTTTCCTGAAAGTTATTAACTGCTTTGGCAATTGAAATTTAAGTTTGTTTTTATAATAAAAATGTAACTACAGTACAAGAATGAAAGATGTTTGACAAATCTTTGCAGTTTCTTTTAGCATAATATTGTTTTTGATTTAGAGTTGATGTATTTAGAAAACTACAACTGGATTAAAAAATATCTGCTGTCCTCTTAAACAGCTACTTTGTAAAATATANAAAGTAGACTAAATTACTTTAATATATTTTATTTTTATTTTTTCTTACCAGGAATCGATAAATGAAGAAAGTTATTCGAGATTTGAGAAAACGTCTTCATTTTCTAAAAGGTTGGTTTGTTTAAATAAAAGCTAACATTCAAATTATTGACATTTCTTTCCTTATACAAACATAAAGAGGGGAGTAACAGAATTTTTCGAGACGGCAAAAGAACGAATTTAATTTGAAATGTCGAAAATGTAATTTTTGTTCTACTCTCGAGAGAATGTGTATTTAAAGACTAATTTAATGAAAGATCCACTCTTACTACGCGTGAAAGTCATTTTATTAAGTACCAAAGAAAGGAAAACAAAAGGAAAAAAAAGAATTATTAAAATACATTGAAAATACAAAAAAAAACATTACCAAATTAATAAATGAAAATTAAAAGTTAAAAATTAAACTACTTAATTTTCTAAACGTATTAGAAATTTCACGACATAAAGTAAAAATTATAATTAAAAAAAAATCAGGTAAATTTAATTAATACGAAAGATTTTAATGACGTTGATAAAAATATAAATTAACAAAAGATAAAGTAAATTAAAATGCTTATATGATAATTAACTTCATTAAAGGCGATTATGTAATAAGTATTTCGTTTAAGATTTGATGAACAGCTAAGTTCAGGGCATTGTTAAAAGTCTTCGAGTCGGTGGAGAAAATGTGAAATTATTCAAAGACCACAGCATTAATTAACGTACTTAACAATAATAGTAATTCTAATACAAGTACTAGAGAAGTTAATGTAGTGCTTGTCTGTCTTTAACTCATACACTACATTAAAACACACACATACTCTCTCTCTCCTCAACACTAGGTTGGTAAATAACGTGGTATAGTAATTAATCAATTAATTCGTTATGTGTTGCAATTTTCAAAAATTGCAGGCCTATAAATTACCACTGGCTGTCTGTCCTTCCTTAATCTCGAGAATGGTGTCAGATAGATGAAATTCGAGACCTGGTATGGAAAACACAGGGGCAGAAGGCCACGAATAACTGTATAAGAACTTCCGGTTTGGTCTAGAAGTCACGTTAATTCAATTCAAAATTTTTCTCCTGAACCGAGTACGATAGATGACCGGCATGATTCTACTGTTAACAGGTAAAGTATGATGTACAGGGGCAAGACTAATAAAATTGAGAGCATTGTGACGATGTTAAGATAAATAATTGCTGGTTTTATTTTATTTTTTTTAAATAATAATAAATTCTATTCATGATTTTCATTCCCTTTTTTCCTGTTTTCTCTTTATAAATGGAAATTTTCACCATAATTTAAAGTATTAAAGTACAGTAATATCTCAACACTGGGTTAGTTACAAGAGTTATTAATTGGGGATGCAATTTAAAAAAATTATAGACCTATAAATTCGCAGTGTCATCTGTCTATCTGTCTGTCCTTCCTTAATCTCGAGAACGGAGTTAGATAGATGAAAGACGAGACCAGATATGGAAACCATGGAAATAGGAGGCCCTAATTAACTATATAAGAACTTCCTATACAAACCTGAAGTCACGTTATTTCAATTAAATATTTTCCCCTGAAAGGAGTTCGACAGATGATCGGTACGACTCTATTGATAACAGGAAAAGTATGGTGTACAGGGGAAAGCCTCTACTAATTTGAGGTGAAGAGCATATATTTAAATTAAATAAATTAAAAAATATATATATATATGATATGTGCTCACATTAATAATTTGAATTTACGTAAAATTCATTGTATTTAGACTGTTTTTTCCTAGCAATCACAAAGCAAGATATTAATATCAAATATAAGTAAAACGGCAAAGTTGTATTTGGGACAAGACTATGTCTCGAAGACTTACTACTAAGCTGGATCACTTTGATGCTCATGGTGAATCTCGTTCCCATTCTACAATCTTCTTTGGTATTGTTGATTTTGAGCATGATCGTTCAAACTTCGTTGGCCTAGGCCATGGCCACAACTTTGTCCAAGATGCATTTTCAGTGAAATTAACCTATCTAATGTCAAAATTTCTCTCCTTATGTGTCGCCCTGGGCTGAATTTTTGTCCATGCCTAACAAAAATTTCCCATTTTCGAAAAAAATAATCATGGCTATTGTATCATCCGAAATTATTTATATTTATTTTGCACAAACAACATATATATATAAAGAAATGTAAAAAAAAAATTATATTTCGGGAAGTTAATTTTAATATAAAATTAAAACAACTAGTGCCATCTAGTTTCAAAAACATTCCAATGATAAAATGAGAATCTCGGGTTAACCGGTCAAGGTCAGTACGTCACGACCAGAGATATATCAGGAATAACACAGGACAGGTAAATGTGTTTTTTCAAAGATTTGTTTGTCAAAATTTGATTTTGCAACATTCATATTTCCAACATGCAACACATGTGCAAATCTTGCACTAGTGCCTGTTTGTAGAAAGTGTGTTGCCATTTTATATTTTATTTTGACTTGGTTCTCGGTCTCCTGAGTACTTACAAGTCTGGTTTTATCTATGCTCGCATGATTTGGTCACCTAATACTCTGTGCCAAATTGCAACTTCTGAAAAGTACTTCTTCATACCTCTAAGCTGGTAAGCCAGGATGGCACCACAATTTTATAAACAAGACACAATTTTAAACATTATTGACAAGACTGCGTCTTGTCAATAATGTTTAACATAAAGGTATAGCTTTATAATTTACCTCAATTTTTGTAATTAATATCTTCAGGTAAATATTTTATTAAAAAAAGCAAAAATAGAAAATTTTATATACAGGTAACCCCCGTATAACACGGCCCTTCTATAGCACGGATTCACTCTAACACGGTTTGAGAATTGGTACCATCCCCCGTATAACACGGTACTTTTATAGCACGAATTCACTCTGACACGGTTCGAGAAATGGGTAAAACTCTCGTACAACATGAAATGTAATAAATTTTTACATATTTAAGTACTAATAGTTCACGAAAATTATTATTTTCGTGAACTATTAGTACTTCAGTGTGTAAATTTTCTTTTCTCATCTCCATACACATGGTCCTTCGCAAAAATTTTTTCAATTTTGCCATATTTCGACGCTTCTGCTTATGGTGTTAGATGTTTTTCCCTTATTCCATAAGTGCTTAGCACCATATAAGGAAATTTATAAAGATCTTTTAACTAGAAGCAAGCAATCTAAAATTACATACACTTTTTGCAAAAGGTAAAGCATGAATCTAAAAATAATGCAGAAAAACGCTCAGAGGATAACAATAACTTGCCAAAAATAAAATGCTCTTGGTTAGTAGTGCTTTTAGTGATGACAAAGAAAACATTGTTTTAATATGTATCACTTAAGAAAATTTTAATAAAGATATTTAACTTAATTATGAAAATATAGTAGCATGTTTTTTTAATTTTTGGAACCTAACCCTCCTTTTCGTACTAGTTCTTTGATTCGCATAACACGGCAATTTTTTGGAACGTAACTACCGTGTTATACGGGGGTTACCTGTAATTCAATTTACAAATACCACAAAATACAACTATAATAATATTCTCATTAAATGACCACAAAAACTCAATTGAGAAAGTACTTACGCACTAGTGATTGCTCTGTATCGTTCCTGCCCAGCAGTATCCCAAATTTGAGCCTTTATAGTTTTCCCATCTACTTGGATACTCCGTGTAGCAAATTCCACTCCAATTGTACTCTTGCTTTCCAAATTGAATTCATTTCTTGTGAATCGTGATAAAAGATTGCTTTTTCCTACTCCAGAATCTCCAATAAGGACAACTATTTAATACATAAATTATTTTTTTATGATTTTCATTTACTAAATTATTTTATATATTTACGACAATACTATGGTTAAACTTTATATGAAATTTAATTTTCAAGAGTATATGCTATTTCTCATATATGCAAACCTG